AGCCTGATGCGGGGCTCGATCCCAGGACCCAGGGATCATGACCTGAGCCGAAGGCAGGCGCTTAACGACTGAGCCACCCAGGCGCCCCTGAATCATCCTTATATTCTGCAAAGTACCCATGACAGTCTTGATGGTAACAAGTGGTCAGTAAGTATTTTGTGCAAGAATTACCAAATAGCAAGTGGACATATGCAGGCAGTGCATTATTTTTGTTATTTACAGACTTTTAAAATTTGAAGTATTGAAATTATTTATATGTTTTCTAAATAATAATCTAATTTGTCTGCTTAATTAGAACGTCAGTAACACAAGTGTTTGACAGTATGCATGTGAAAATTCCACTAACTCTGAAGGGAAATCAAACTGATTCAGAGGATTCATTTGAAAAATCAGTGCACTATTACCAAATTTTCTACAGAAATACAAACCATTTCCATATATTATCTGTCTTGTTTTAATATAAAATACTATTAAGAGCGTCTTTAATTAAAATAACTTAAAATCCCGTTGTCTGTTACAGTTAGTGCTTGGATATAGTTACAAAGCCAACATGCACTGGAGAGTAGTGCCACATACTCACTATTCTTCATTTCCTCTTGATTTCTCTGATGTGTTTTAGAGTCCAAGGTTATTCTTCTTGGCTCTAAAATTTTTTTATTCCAAACTCAGAAAGGAGGCATGTGACTGATGTGACATTTGGGGTGTTTGGGACTGGGCGTTGTATTAAGACAATCAGAATAATCCATATATTTTGATACTGTGCCAAGGATATCAGCTTAAATTTATATCAAAAGGAGTGTTTTGTTGGTCAGAATACATCTTGCGAATTGACATTTGAAAGGATCATACAAAACCTCCCTGTCTGTCCTTCTTTGTGTCATCCTGTCTTCTGTCATATCATCCATCTCCTTTGTTTTGCATTTGATAGAATATTATATTTGATTCCTTTTTTTGTCTGGCCACAAAACCTTATATGGGCTGTTAGGTATCTTTTATATTTTTGTTTTATTATCTAAAGGGAATCCGATAGTTACTAAGTTGTATTTTGAAACTTCTCAGTGGAAAAATTTTCATCTTTTTTTCCCCAATACATAATAATGTGAATTCAGGCTTTCTTGTTTTTTTAAACAAACCATTATTGAGATAATTACTAGGGATTAGCAAGACAGATCACTTTGGTGGCAGGAGAAAAGCCTTGGTAGCCAGATGATTTCAGTTTGACAAGCCATGGGGTGTTATTAGACGTGAAATGCAAGCTAGCCTTGGCAGTGCTTATGTCTTGTGCAATAATACTTTGCTGAAGGCATCAAGTCTAAGCTGTTCATCTGCATAGATGTTCAGAGTATTCTTGGGACCTAGGTATGATAAGTTGTATTTACATCCTACAAAATGAATGTAATGTTATTGAATTTAGTAGGTAAGTGCCTATCTTAAGGACATATAAATACCAAATGACTGGAAGGAAATGGATATGAGGAAATGTGTTTTGTTTATTTGTTTGTTTTTTTAATATATGAAAGAAAAAGAGAAAGGAGTTGTCAAGTTAGAGAACTACACTCACGCTAGTCAAATAGCACTGTAAAAGGAATAATATGTGGATCAAGAACTGTAACACTAACTTAAGGTGTTTGAGGCTTCTCTGTAATTCAGAGATGTGCTTATGCAATTCAGGGCCACAAACATATACTGAGCCAGAGGCTCTGTAGACAATAGAAAATTAAGGATCAGTAATTCACAATCCTTGTCATCAGCCACATAAGGGGAGACCTATATATAAATAAAAATATATAGTATAAGGTGTTGAATCATGTAACAAAGATACGCACAAGTACAATGAATTTTATGTAAGACACAACTGGTCCTTTGGGAGCAGGAGGTAAGCAAGGAATGCTTTTCTCAAGGCCATGAAGTCTCTTTGAGTTGAGTCATAAAAGATGGGTAAGAATTAGATTGAAAAAGGAGAGATGGATAGTAGGGAAGTTGTTCCAAGGTTGAGGGACCAGCAAAAGTGTGGGGCTGAGAAGCAGCAGGGGCATAGTGTTCCAAAGAACTTGACAGGAGCGTAAGATTGGAGGTGGTCAGATTTAATAGGAGTAGGGGGAGAAAATAAATTCAAGAAATGTTGAGCACCTGGGTGGCTCAGTCAGTTAAGCATCTGACTCTTGATTTTGGCTCAGGTCATGATCTCAGGGTCCTGAGATGTCGGGCTCCGCTCTGGATCTCCCTCTCTCTCTCATCCCTCCCCCCTCTCACTTTCTCTCTCTCAAATAAATAAATAAGTAAAATCTTAAAAAAGAAATGTTAACTAGATTAAAAATGAGCAAAACCTGGTGACAGAGTGTATAGATGTGATGTAAAGGATGAAATGATGCTAACTCCTAGGTCTCTGTCTCAGGCAGTCAGGGCCGCCAGTAGCCCAAAAGGTGTCTTTGTTTGAATCAGAAGAAGATGCATTTTCTGACTGGCAGATGTTAAACCTGTGGTAGGGGGAGTGGCATGTGTGCAGAGTGGATTTTGACCTCCACTTGCCCATTGGCTTGGTGCTCCTGTGCAGTGTCTGGTCTGAAGAACTGTAAAGGGCAGATGGGGGCAAGTGGGTGACCAGTCATGTCATTAGTGCAAATAGGAAGAGAGAGTGGAACTGGGGGGCAGTGAAAGGGGCAATGATGAGCTCAGTTGTGAATGTGTTCAGTTTGTAGTATCTAGGGTCATTGTCCAGGAGGACATATCAGGGAAGAAGTTTGGGTATATGATTCTAAAACACTGGAGACTATAGATGATTTAGGTCTGCTAAATTTTTTTTTTAATTATGTGTCAGTTGTAGTTAAAATTATTCAAAGTGAATTATTGCTCCAGTGGTACTCATATAATGCTAAGGGGTAATTTCTCTAAAATGGTTAATCTGCTTATCAAAAATGCATTCCAGATAACTTTCAAAGAATGTCTGCTAGTGTTTATTCATTTATTTTTTAAATTTTTATTGAAGTATATTTGATATACAATATTATATTAGTTTCAGGAATATAACATAGAGATTTGACAATTATATACATTATGAAATGGTCACCACAATAAATGTAGTTACCATCTGTCACTGTACATTATTATAATATTACTGATCTTATTTCCTATGCTACATTTTCATCCCCATGATGTATTTGTTTTATAACTGGAAGTTTGTACCTCTTAATTGCCTTCACTTGTTTCACTCATCCTTCTATGTCCCTTCCCTCTGGCAACCACCGGTTTTTTCTCTATATCTGTGAATTTGTTTGTTTGTTCATTTGTTTTGTTTTTTAGATTCCACATATAAGTGAATCATATACTATTTGTTTTCTTCTATCTAACTTACTTCACTTAGCATTATACCCTCTAGGTCCATCCATGTTGTCATGAATGCCAAGAATTCACTTCTTTATATGGCTGAGTAATGTTCCATTGTGTATATTTACGTATATATATATCACATCTTCTTTACCCATTCATCTGTTGAGGGACACTTAGGTTGCTTCCATATCTTGGCTTTTGTGAATAATGCTGCAGTAAACACAGGGGTGCATGTATCCTTTTGAATCAGTGTGGTGGGTTTTTTTGGGGGGTGGGGGGTTGGGGGGAGTAAATACCTAGAAGTGGAGTTACTGGGTTGTATTGTATCTCTATTTTTAATTTTTGTGAGGATCCTCCATACTGTTTTCCACGGTAGCTGCACTAGTTTGCACTCCCACCAACAGTGCAAGAAGGTTCTCTTTTCTCTATATCCTCGCCAACACTTGTTATTTATTGACCTTTTTTTTTAAAGTAGGCTCCACACCCAGCATGGAACCCAACATGGGGCTTGAACTCATGACCCCACAATCAAGACCTGAGCTGAGATCGAGAGTTGATGCTTAACTGACTGAGTCACCCAGGCGCCCTTTTATTGATTTTTTGATAACTAGCTGTTTTGACAGGTGTGGGGTGATATCTCATTGTGACTTTGATTTGCATTTCTCTGATAACTAGTGATGTTGAAAATCTTTTCATGTCTCTGTTAGCCATCTCCTTTGGGAAAATGTCTATTTAAGACTTCTCCCCATGTTTAATTGGATTCTTTGCTTTTTTGGTGTTGAGTTGCATGAATTTTTTGTTTTTGTTTTTTTTTAAGATTTATTTATTATGGAGAGGGAGGGCAGAGGGAGAAAGAGAGAGAATCTCCAGCAGACTCCCCACTGAGAGTGGAGCCTGATGTGGGGTTTGATCCCATAACCCCAAGATCATGACCAGAGCCAAAACCAAGAGTCTGATGCTCAAATGACTGATCCACTCAGGTGCCCTGAATTCTTTATATATTTTAGATATTAACCCATTATCAGATATATCATTTGAAAATATCTTCTCCTGTTCAGTAGGCCACCTTTTTGTTTTGTTGATGTTTTCCTTTGCTGTGCAAAATCTTTTTAGTTTGATGTAGTCCTATTTGTTTATTTTTGCTTTTGTTTCCTTAGCATGAGGAGACAGAATTCACAAAAATAATACTAAGGCTGATGTCTAAGAGATTACTGCCTACATTTTCTTTTAGGAATTTTATAGTTTCAGGTCTTACATTTAAGTCTTTAATCTATTTTGAGTTGTTTTTTTGTGTATAGTGCATGAAAATTGTCCATTTTCATTCTTTATTCTTTTGCATGTAGCTGTTCCACTTTTCCCAATACAATTTATTGAAAAGACTGTCTTTTTATCATTGTATTATATTCTTGCCTCCTTTGTCATACATTAACTGACCACGTATGTTTGGGCTCATTTCTGGGCTCTCTATTCTCTTCTGTTGATCTGTGCATCTGTTTTTGTTCAGTAACATACTGTTTTGATTACTATAGCTTTGCAGTATAGTTTCAAATCTGGGATTGTGATACCTCCAGCTTTGTCCTTCTTTTTCAAGATTGCTTTAGATATTCAGGGTCTTTTGTGGCTTTAAATAAATTTCAGAATTATTTGTCCTAATTGTGTGAAAAATAGCATTGACATTTTGATAGGGATTGCATTGAATCTGTAGATTACTTTGGGTAGAATGGACATTTTAACAATATTAATTTTTCCAATCCATGAACAGAGATTATTTCTATATTTATTTGTTTCATCTTCAGTTTTTTTCATCAATATCTTATATTTTTTAGAGCACAGGTCTTTCAATTCCTTGGTTAGATATTTTCCAAGGTGTTATATTATTTTTGGTGAAGCTTTAAATGGGATTGTTTTTGTAATTTCTTTCTGCTACTTTTTTCATAGTGTATATAAATTTTGTATCCTGTGACTTTACTGAATTCATTTATTAATTCTAATAGTTTTCTGGTGTTGTCTTCAGGGTTTTCTATATAGTTGTCCCTTGAACAATGTGGGGATTAGGGGCACCAATCCCAATGTAGTTGGAAATTTACATATAACTTTCAGCCCCCCAAAATGTTAACTACTAAGAGCCTACTATTGAACAGAAGACTTACTGATAACATAAACAGTCAACCCATGTTGTGTATATTATATGTATTATATGCTATATTTTTACAATAAAGTAAGCTAGAGAAAAGAAAATGTTATTAAGAAAATTCCATAAGGAGGAGAAAATACATTTACAGTACTGTACTGTATTTATGTAGGTGAACCTGTGTAGTTCAAACCTGTGTTGTTTGAGGGCCAGCTGTATATAGTATCATGTCATCTGCAAATAGTGAAAGTTTTACTTCTTCCTCATCAATTTGGATGCCTTTTATTTCTTTTTCTTGTCTGATTGCTGTGGCTAGGACTTAATATTATGTTGAATAAAAGTGGTGAGAGTGGACATCCTTGTCTTGTTCCTGATTGTAGAGAAAAAGCTTTCAGCTTTTCATTGTTGAGTATGATGTAAGCTGTGGTTTTGTCATATATGGCCTTTATTATGTTGAGGTATATTCTCTCTAAATCCAGTTTGTTGAGAGTTTTTATCATGAATGGATTTTGAGTTTTGTCAAATGCTTTTCCTGCATCTTTTGAGATGATCACATGATTTTTATTCTTCGTTTAAGTGTCATGGTGATTGACTTGCAGATACTGAACCATTCTTGCATCCCTGGAATAAATCCCACTTAATCATGGTGAATGATCCTTTTGATGTATTGTTGGATTCAGTTTGTTAATATTTTTTTGAAGATTTTTGCATCTGTGTTTATCAGGGATAATGGCATGTGATTTTCTTTTCTGTGGGACTTTTGTCTGGTTTTGGTTTCAGGGTAATACAGCCTCATAGCCTGAATTTGGAAGAATTCCTTCTTCTTATATTTTTTTGGATAGTTTGAGAGGGATAGGTATTAACTCTGCTTTACATGTTTAGTAGAATTTACTTGTGAATCCATCTGGTCCTAGACTTTTTTTTGTTGGGAGGTTTTTGATTACTGATTTAATTTTGTTACTAGTCTACTACTGTTTATTAACATACCAAAGAATGGTCATGATAAATTGGATTCGTAATTTTTTTGTTTTCTCTGTTCCAGATTGCTGTGCTATGCCTTGTATGACAAAAGTCCTCTCACCAAGAATACCTTTGCTTTGACACTGGTGGACAGTCAGACCATGTGAGTACAGAATCTGAATAGGTAGACTGCAGTGAATCCGAATTGGTTAAATCAGCTAAGCAAAAAAGAACCCGCCCCCCAAAAAACCCCCACAAAACAACCAAAAATGTTGTGATAGATAGACCAAGGAAATAGTATCTGTTTTCTTTGTGATATAATTCTAGATGAGGTAGAAAACTCATCTCTTTTCCCCATTAACTTATTATTTTAGTGGGGTCTATAAAAGCAACAGTGAAATTTTTATGTCAGCTCATTTTTCAGGGTATTTATGGCAACCAGTTAGAAGTTTAATGAAAGCGTTTTTTGGGGTTTGTTTTTGTTATTCTAAAGGGGCAAAACTCCTAAACTTTTTTATGTGGCACTATTTTGCAGAAAAACACTGCTGAGGAGTGCTAAAGTGGCAATGAAACAGCCCAACAGAAAGAGGAAGCTTAGTATGGATTCCAAAGAGCATTTGAATCAGGATGGGTGCTTGGTAAGATGTCAGTTCCTGGGCCCTTCCTTCTAGTTTGTGCTCACTGTGGAAATTTACAATGTAATTGTATAGTTTGTGTAACCACAGCAGAGGTTGTTTCTTCAATGACTAGGAGCTGGTTACTTGTGGTTGAGTTTTATATACAGAGGTATAGAATATAAATGTCATTAAAGCCTGATAACATTTTAAAGGGTAATATTCATTTTAAAGTGAAAGGAGACCTTTTTTCTTTTATTTTAAGAACATTTTAATGCATATCCTTTGAACACATTTACATGTACATGTATTTTAAATATAGCATATTGCATACATGTAAATCAAATGTACTATGTATATCTCACATGATATGGTAATTAATACAGTTATATCTTATGATATGCTTTGACTGGCCAGTGTTGTCCAAGATTTTATGCTGGTATTTACAGACACAGTGCATTGCTATGATAAGATAATTACTTCTGTGAAAAATACAGGATTTATCTTTCATGATGAATGCTTTGATACTTAAGATTTTATCAAATAAAATTTCTTAAATCTCCTTTTCTCTTAATTCCCCACTAAATATAGCACATATAATTTATGTCCTATTAGAAAGAGGTATTTCTCCAACTGAAGGTAATTATTTGATGAAGAATCTAAAAAAATTCTAAAAGATAAAAAGAAAAAATAATTTACCACCCCTTGCAAAATCAGTTATCTAACAGTCATTTAAGGAGGAGCTTTAATTTGATGTGGACACATAGACTAAAAGGTTAAGAGTAGTTATTACTGGGCGCCTGGGTGGCTCAGTTGGTTAAGCGACTGCCTTCGGCTCAGGTCATGATCCTGGAGTCCCGGAATCGAGTCCCGCATCAGGGTCCCTGCTCGGCAGGGAGTCTGCTTTGCCCTCCGACCCTATCCCCTCTCATGTGTTCTCTCTCATTCTCTCTCTCTCAAATAAATAAATAAAATCTTTAAAAAAAAAAAAAGAGTAGTTATTACTAGATGATTGGATACAGATGCTTTTTTATATTGTCTTTCTATTCAAATACTTTACCATTAACATGTGTTACTTTTTGAACTAGAGATAAAGTTATACATAGGTATAGGAAATTGCCAGGAAGAAAATCCATCAAATATTAGTCCTGGTATATCTTAGTGGGAATTTTAGAGGTCTTGCTCTCCTTCCTTCCTCCCTCCCTCCCTCCCTTCCTTCCTCCCTTCCTTCCTTTATAAAGATTTATTTGAGAGAGAGCAAGCACACGCACTTGTGAGTGGGGGTAGGGGGAAGGGAGGGGGAGAGAATCCTCAAGCAGACTCCCCGCTCGTTGTGGAGCCCAACGCAGGGCTCAATCTCACTACCCTGAGATCATGACCCGAGCTGAAATCAAGAGTCAGCCATGTAACTGACTGAGCAACCCAGGAGCTCCAAAGAGACTTTTCTTTGTAACAGTGGTGGTAATCGATTATTATCAAGTGAGGGGCAGAGATTGTGGACGGAAGGGGGTTGTGTTTGTTAGGGTTCTCCAGAGAAGCAGAACCAACGGGAGTAGTTGACAGTCCTGTCACAATCCCTGTTCACAATCTTTGTCCCTACTTGATAATGATGAATTATATGTATATGGGTATATATTATATGTATATAGGAAGATTCATTTTAAGGAGTTGATTCATACAATCATGGGGGCTGACAGGCCTGAAATCTACAGGGCAGGTTGGCAGGCTGGAGACCCAGAAAAGAGTTGATGTTGCAGCCTTGAGTCCAGAGGTATTCTGGAGGCAAAATTCCCTCTTCCTTAGAGAGGTCAGTCTTTTTTTCTCTTAAGGCCTTTAGCTGATTGGATGAGGCCCACCCACATTGTGGAGGATAATGTGCTTTACTCAGAGTCTACTATTTGAATGTAAATGACATCTAAAAAATTCCTCACAGTGACATCTTGACAGCTACATGGTATGATATGCATCTTGCTTCTAGTTACCTGTGTTCTTTCCCCGTGGCAACTTTTTGTAGTCCTACAAATTTCGAGGTGGCAGAAGTGACCAGGAGACCTCCATAGTGACGATTTTGGTGATAGTGGGCCATTAGAGCATTCTCATTAGTGACCTCTCATGTGCTCTCACCATGTTTTGGTCTGGATTTTGGGGTCTTCATGTGGGTTGTGGTTATGCATTTACATACTGTACTTGGTGAAGTGACAGTGTCATACACTTTTTTTTTTAAATTTTATTTTATTATGTTATATTAGTCACCATACAATACATCATTAGTTTTTGATGTAGTGATCCATGAGTCATTGTTTTCGTATAACACCCAGTGCTCCATGCAGTATGTGCCCTCCTTAATACCCATCACTGGGCTAACCCATCCCCCCAGCCCCTTCCCCTCTAAAACCCTCAGTTTGTTTCTCGGAGTCCATAGTCTCTCATGGTTAATCTCCCCACTCCGATTTCCCCCACTTCATTTTTCCCCTCCTTCTCCTAATGTCCTCCATGCTATTCCTTATGTTCCACAAATAAGTGAAACCATATGATAATTGACTTTCTCTGTTTATTTCACTTAGCATAATCTCCTCCAGTCCCATCCATGTTGATGTAAAAGCTGGGTATTCATCTTTTCTGATGGCTTGTATATATGGACCACATCTTCTTTATCCATTCGTCTGTTGAAGGGCATCTCGTCTCTTTCCACAGTTTGGCTATTGTGGACATTGCTGCTATGAACATTGGGGTGTATATGGCCCTTCTTTTCACTACATCTGTGTCTTTGGGGTAAATACCCAGTAGTATAATTGCTGGATCATAGGGTAGCTCTATTTTTAAATTT